GGGCCTCAGTAGAATATCACTCAGTAATTTAATTGTAATTTAATAGTTTTTATTGAATTTTCCATAAGCTTACTGACATAAAAGACTCACACACCGAGTTACATATCTTGAGCATACATACAGTAAGGACTAAACTAAGGAAGCAAATCCTACAGATCATTTTCTGATTGACATCCTTGCGCCATTTCATGTGATGGACAAATATCTTGCCTTTTAATACAGCAATCCTGCTTTCCGATCAGTGACGTAATAACTGCGAACTTGTAGCTGGTTGAAACTGAATTAAGGCACGATAAAAAGAGGTTATAGTTTTAGCCTGAATTTCAGCCAGGTTGTTCGAAAGCTGGTTAATGTATAGCCTGCGAACGCAGACTTATTTCTGGTTGTCGCTTGTCTCCTCCAAAAACCAAAATAACACTTTATTTTTTTTTCTGCGGAGACAAGCGACAGCCCGCAATATGTCTGCGTTCGCAGGCTAGTTAATGTAGTAAGAAATGCTTTTCACTGCTTATGTTTTATGTAGTTTAAAATTATTCCAACTCAAAACAAAAGAACAAGCAATATAAACTCACCGAAAAGTTACAAAATGAAACTGAAATTAAAATTCTTGCTAATCCGGGGTTAATATTAGCTTAATTTGTTAATCGGGCTTTACACAACCCGGCTGTTACACTCACTTACTCCCGAGAAAGCAAACAAAGAAAAGAGCAGAAACTGCTATTCTAGGCTATTCTTTTAAATGATTATATTAAAACATGACCTATTTTCCTTTTTCAGTGAACGAAGACGAGGACTCGACTGGTGTAAAAAGAACGATAAATGTGCTGTAGGAACAAATGAACATATTGACTCATCATCTTAGTACTGGAATACGGTTATAGTAATGGACAATCGCGGGACACAATCAAATGACGTAATATATGTAAGTTGGCCTAGGGCCCTTTCTAGGCCAAAGGTAAAGTTTTTCTCGATACGAGCCCGCCAAAGCCGGCAATTAACATTTAAATTTCTTTCATTTTTAAGCGCCAAAATTAATAGGGAAAGATTTTGAAATCGCGAAACGGCATCCGCAGTGTAAAAAAGTCATTCAAATGCCGGTGCATACTCAAGAACGAGGAAAAAATTTGCTTCCGAAGCTGGGTTGTTATTGTTGTTGTTGTCGTTGTTGTTGGTGGTGGTGTTGTTGTCGTTGTTGTTGTTTTTGTTGTTGTTGTTGTTTTCTCTACGTTCACACAGCCTACATAGTTTAAAGTGAACCAAACACTAGCAAGGGGATGTGGTTCGCAATTCAGGGTCCATGAAAAACTGCCCGGCGTAATTAGCCAATCAAATTCCAGGATTCAGGATTCCCAGACCGCAGAGATGCTTGAGAAAATAAAGAAGGTATATTCATTATGCCCGCAATGTAGCCCGTGTTAAGAGCCATACCCTTTTAATCAATTAAGTCGTATATTAGATTATACAGTCTTTTCATGAGTAGTTACTGAACAACCGAGGGAACCATTAGACCTAAGGACTCAAATTGTATTACACATTGCAACGATTTCGTTTGTTGCCTACGGTTTGTTACAATATAAGAATGAAAACCAATACAGTACACGGAACTCTGTTGTTGTAAAAGTATCTACTGACTCGTAACCAGTCGCTATTTAAGGGTCGGACAGGATCGTTTCAGAGAGAAAGACGTCGGGATCGAGTGGGGCACGCAGGGAGTTATGACCCTTCCTTTGAAACACCACGGGTCTTAATCCGCTCTACAATCCAATCTTCTCTCCCCAAGAATACGTAAATAGCGACTGGGTCAGAGTTTGAAGTAGCTGTGTGAATTATTTTGCCGTGAATAACAGACAGTTCTCACGGGAGTACAGAAAATGACACTTAAAGAGAAACACTCTTTTCCCTGGATATTATATTGAACGATGACAATAATGCAACTGAAAACAAGTTTAATTCATTTTAAGTTCAGTATATGGTTTTAATTTAAACTGGTACAATTCTTTTAATCGCGATTAAAAACTTCAAACTTAATACTAGAGCCTCGCAACTATTTAATTCCTAAAGGAAAATAATTGTTAATTATAGGTAAGGGAATTGACTAAATGTAAAAATAGTTTCATATGCGAAATAATATTTAAGTTGTTAGACCGAGGTAGAAAGGAATTTATTTCTCCTAAAGAAACTATGTCAATGCTTTAACTTAGTTTTCTGGCATCCAATCACGGGTTGAAGAGGATTAGGGCGCATTCCGAGCGACGAAGTGGTTAAATTTTTTAACGGGTTTCGTCTGTGACTTAGATCGTTAAACACTTCAGCAAATTTTGTAAAGAGCAAAACGACAGCTGAATATTCCCAACAGTGATCAAAACCTTCTTTCTCCGTACCTTGTTATTACATTGCCAAGAAGGAAAGTGATAAGATAAAGATAACGATCAGCTTGGGAATGGCGTCTGGACGTATCAACGATTTCTCCGAACTAACATTTAAAGATCTATAAATGTAATCTAGGAACTAATTTGGAACTTAAAGGACTATGGTATTACATGATGTACTGTGATAAGAAGCTGTAGTTAGTTAGATTAATAAAGATCTGGACTTAACTCTTTGCGCGCTGTTTATTTCGCCTCTCACGTCTTGGTTAATATTGTCTAACGAGACATGCACACCTTAAAACATTCAGATTACCGAGGCAGAGATTTGAGCAGCTCATCTTTAGGTCTTTTTGTTCTTTAGTAGATGGTTAATAAAACATTTCACAGTTGTGCGCTTAGTTACCTGGCCTTTGAATACGAACGAGGTTAGAGGTTAACTAGGTTTGATTCAAAACGCCTCTGCTTTTCTCCTTAAAATGCAAACTAGTTAGCGTTAACAGAACTTGAGTACACAACAAAAGCAGTGAGGTCTGTATCAAAACAAGGTCACCTCCAGCCTCGCTGCCATTCAAAGGCCA